TATAGTGATTCGTATACAATCAAATCGTGTGTACTATTTATTTTAACCAATGATCAAATTTTAAAATATAATACTATTATATAATTTACAATATTAATATTATATACATAAATATAACTTATAATACTATATGTTTGAAATATAATACAATTATATAACTTATAATTTTTATATTATATACATAAATATAACTTAAAATATTTAATTTTATTTACATCTGTGCAAATGCACATGGTCGAATACTAGTGAATAAGTTCATATGAAATGAAATAGTAATAGATAATTAAGGACCGTAATAATTACCTTTAATACATTAACTTAATCAATCTTGGGAAGGAAATACTATATATGAAGTAGCCCAGCGACTGGCGTATCATTTTCATTGCCACTTGAATCGCTGGGAGAGTTAACTGAGCAGACTGAATTAGGTCCAATCCTAATCAAGTATACAATGATGTCAGTAAAATGTAATTAATATAAGTAAATGAAAAACTCTTCACATTCTGCCACTCAAGAGTCTCATAGTACTGATGATCATACATATATACACACACACACACTGATCAGGGAATCATAGATAGAATGAATAATGTACATATAAACTTNGGATTATTAATTTGATCCTCATTGAGATCATTGACTGCAGCCTCAAATGGAGGAAATTAAATGGATTAAGCATTATAGCAGTAATCACAAGATATTGCTGGTGGGCGAAGGAGATTTCTCTTTTGCGGCATCATTAGCCTCTGCATTCGGCAATGCTTCTAATATGACTGCAACGTCTCTCGACTCTGAGGGTATGCCTGTAAAAATGCAGCAATTAGCTGACATTTAAAATATATCTATATGAAGTTGATAATTAGATTCATATATAAATTTCCTTGTTTTTTTTTTATATAATATAATTTAATTGTAACCAAATTCAGTGATGTTGGAGATAAAGCATCCCACTGCAGCAGCAAACCTGGGTTTACTTAAAAGCAAGGGTTGTACCATAATTCATGAAGTGAATGCTTGTACCATGAGCCGACACCCTCAACTCGAACACATGGAATTCGATAGAATCGTGTTCAACTTTCCTCATGCTGGTTACACTAATTACTCTGAACACAACTATATCCAAATATGGTAAGTTTTAATTGCGTATACATTTATATTGTCGTTTGGAAATTTATTTTCTGGTAAAAAAAAATAAACAAAAGCACTATATAATGAGCTGATATGATGAAGTCTGCACAAGGAGGTGGTTCGGGGTTTCTTTAAGAGTGCGTACCAAATGGTGAGTGCGGTAGGTGAGGTTCACGTGACGCACAAGACAGCTTACCCATTCTCAGCGTGGGAGATAAAAAAATTAGCAGAAGGAGCAGAATTTAAATTAATCGAAGAAGTGAAGTTTCACATCTACGAATACCGTGGCTACCAGAACAAGAGAGGTGATGGAGACCGGAGCAACTCTACTTTTCCTATAGGAGAATGTTCGACTTTCAAATTCGCCAAGTACTATTGAGTTAAGTATTAATATTCAGTGTTACATACCTTATTTAGATCTATATTGCGTTATTATATAACCAAAACCTACCATTGCGACTTGCTAGATCTGTCATATGAAATTTATCCGTTGCTATGGCAAAATTGCATTTATATAACTTTTTTTTTTGGACAAAACATGACGCAACTTTTTAAAATTTGAAATTCATGTCCAAATTCACCTACAAGTTACTGAATTTTACAGGTCTACAAGTTACTGAATTTTACAGGTAGGTACTGACTCACCATGGTTGATCTTATATGGATGCACATGTGCCACTAAAGAGTAGAATTTAACATATTTTACTTAATTTAGAATATTTTTCAATAACCTTGAAAAGAAAGCTAGCTATTAAGTAATTTTGATATTTAGAATATCACGGATAACATTCTTTATGTTTATGATGCTAATAATTTATTGCATTTGATTCACAAATATACTCTTTAGATGCAACTGATTTAAGCAAATCGTAATGTTTGACCAATTACTACAGTATCACCTCTATATTGAGTGGTCAAGAGAGAGTATTCTTCCATAACCTATCAATATGGGTTATGGATTGGTGGAGCTCAACCAATCACTTGGAAATTTGGCGTCAATCACAAGAATCACAATTAAAACGAACCGTCTCTTCATTTTCTATTGTTTCAATCTGCATAATTTTAGGGGAAATAAAACATATAAACCCGAAGAAAAGAAAAAAATAAAAAATAAAAAATTGAAGAAGAAAAAGATTTCCCTTAAAATAAACATAAGAATCACTCAACTAATTTCTTACATCCCTTTTCTATTTTTTTTTTTAAAATCATACTCAATAAGCTATTAAACAGTAACGGACATAATCACCAGCACTGATCCGTTTCCCATCTCCGTGTGGAGTAAAATCTCCGCCGGTTCCCGCGCACCCCAAGCGCGCTCCACCGGCGCTGCGAATCAATGGCCAATTTCAAGTCGTAACTTGCTCTGGTGTCCGGATCTGACAGGGTAGTGTACGCGTTGTGAATCTCGATGAAATCACGGCCGTCGGATGACGCCGCTGCCGGCGAGTCCATGAATCGTGAAATCGCATCTGGATGGTACAACTTGGCGAGCGTCCGGTACGCCGCCTTAATCTCAACCTGCGACGCGTCGCGCCTGACCCGGAGGACCTCGTAGAGGCTCTTTCCGCAGGCAGCCGCCGGCGGTGCCATCTTCGCCACGGGGGCGCGCACGGACATAGTGCGGCGGCGCGACGGCTGGGTGAGGAGAGAGTGTGTAGGAGCGAGGCCTAGTGTTCCCTGCATTATATCGAAGCTTTTTTTTTCGCCCCTTTTTTTCTCTCTTCTAGAAGAAATTGAAATAGATATTTAAAATTTTGTGCGAAGGGTTCGAAATTTGATTTGGATGAGTAGGGCATATGTGGGTGAGATCAGAGAAGAGGGGCAATGTGGGGCCACCCTACCTTATGTTTGCGTGTTTGATTTTCCATGCTGACGAGGTACATGGGATGTGTGCGTGGTTGTTTTCCCCACTCCATTGACTCAAATAGAGTCAACTTTCTATACACAATAAATAAATTATAATATATTTTTTGATTATTTAAAATAAATAATAATAATTTTATTTGTTGTATGTAAATCATACCATATTAATAAAATTATTAGCATTTATTTAAGTAACTAGAGAATATGGTATGATTTACTTGTTGTATATAGAAAGTTGACTCCATTATAGAACCAACTGTTGGCTTCATATTAAAATTGTTGTTTTTCCATGTTGACGAGGAACATGGTATTAGATCGTAGTTGATTTGCCTAGCTTCTAAACTTTTAGGTCCCCTTAATTTTAATTTGTCGTATTATGGAGTAAAATTATATTGCTCCATTTGTTATTTTCTAAGAAATATAAGATTATTTTAATATATATTTTCTTCAATAATGATTATTAGCGATATTTAATTTAATTTGTATTCTCAATGTAATTATTGGGGAGTCAAATGATTTTACATTGGAATTTGAATCAATAACTAAAATTAAACATATTTAAGTATTAAATCTAGAAACACAAATACCTCCTTTTTAGTATGTACGAAAAAAATTAAGAAACATATAAAAAAGAAAACATATTACAACCTTTTTAGCAATTTTTAAAATATACTTCACAATCCACACAAGTTAGAAGTTCAATTACCATTTGTTTATTAAAAGATATACTAAACCCAGCTTACAATGTTTTAGGCTTTTAAGGCTACGCTCGCTTTGAAATTGGGTATGAATTAGCACTAGTATTCGATTTTGTGCATTTGCACAGATGTAAATAAAATTAAATATTATAAGTTATATTTATGTATATAATATAAAAATTATAAGTTATATAATTGTAT